TTATTCCTGTGTGTGACTACCCACACATGTTGTGATTCACCCGATATTTTCCTTTTGAACGTTCTTTGGGCTCTACCCAATTCCGTCTCATTCTTTCAGTGCAGCAGTGAGCATTCTCGCGGGCATGTGTTTGTACTTTTGTTAGTTATACAGGGGCGAGTTAGCTCCTAGGTCAAGTGTGTCTGTTAACTTTATTAGAAGTTGTCTGCTTTTCCCCAAAGTGCATATGAGACGCCCAGTGGCCGCACGGTTGCCACTGTCAGTCTTGTTACTGTTTCTAGCAGTGGGGGGGGGGGGGGGGGGAGCATTGTTTCTTGGTGGTGTTAAACATCCCTGGCCAGTAAACACCTGAACAGCTCTTAACAATTCATGGGTGTCGAATGTCCAGTGGATTTGTCTTATTCCCTCTTCATGATGTCATTCATTTTTATGTGTATAAGTGCGTTGCCTGGATGTATGTCTGTGCACCGTGTGCATGCTGGCTACCTGATGAGTTCAGAAAAGCATGTTGGAGGCCCTGGGAATGGAATTACAGTCTGTTGTGAGCTGCCGCATGGGTGGGTGCTGGGAATGGAACCTGGGTCCTCGGGAAGGTCAGTCAGTGCACTTATCTGCTGAACGATCTTTCTAGATGGCTTTTTATTTGCTGGATGTGGTAGTCCATGTCTTTAATTCAGCATTTGGGTGGCAGAGATAAATGGATCTCTGTGGGTTCCAAGGCAGCCTGGTCTATAAAGATAGCAAGTTCTAGGGCAGCCAGGGCTACATAGAGAGACTCTGTCTCAAAAAAACAAGCAAACAAACAACAAAACTACCTTCCTTCTTGATTCAAGGTTGTTTTTCGAATGAGCCCCTAGCTGTGTGTGCTGGGATTATTCTCTCACTCTGTGTGCCCAATTTCTTTTCCTGAGGCAGGGTTTCTCTTTGTGGTACTGGCTATCCTGGAACTCACTATGTAGACCAGGCTGTCCTAGAACTCAGAGATCCATCTACCTCTGCCTTCCAATGGCTGGGATTAAAGGCATTTGCCTCCACCGCCTGGCACCTTACAAATTCTTAAAAGCTCCTTTGCACGAACAAAAGATGCTCACAGTTCAACTTCTCAATCCTTACTACAGAGTGTGCTTCTTAGTGTTCCGTTTAGCTCTGCTTACCGTGAAAAACCAAACAGATGTTTGCACAACTTCTAGAAGAGTCTTTCCCTTTTCATAGTCGGGCTACCCTCCCCCTGGAATTCATTTATGATATGTAGAGGTCAAGATTTTTGTTTTGTTTTTTCTAAATCCTATGTAACTTGTCCAACACCATTTATTCAATACAGGATCTGTTCTTCTTGGTCTATGGCAAAGTCTTTGCTTTGATGTAAATCAAGGGTCTACATGTATAGATTTACATGACGATCTCTTTCTGAGCTTTATTCTATCTCACTCCCCACCTTTTCTTAATCTTATCCTTGCATTAATATACTAATGTTTCATTGCCAAGACTAAGACTTGTTAACCAGTAAAATAAGTCTTTCAACCTTCTTGTTCAAGATTGTATTATTTATTCAGAACCAATTATAATTCCATATAAATTTTATAGCCAGCTTGACAGTTTCTACTAGACAGCTGCTGGGGTTTTGAATGAAAGTATATTGAATTTATAGATCAATTTACAGATAATTGACATCGCCACTAAGCTGGGTTATTTAGTCCATAAACATCCCCCCCCCTTAGGTTTTAATTAACTTCTCTCAACAATATTTATGGTTTTCATCGTGGAAGTCTTAGATATCTTTTTATTAAGTGTTCACTGGGTTTTGAAACACCTTGATGTTATGGTAAATTAAATGATCTTTGAAAAAATTAACACTCTGCTTTTATAGTTTTGAAGTAGAGACTGTATTTATTTTTATACGCTGATCATATGGCTTGTGATCGTGCCAGATTCATGTACTAATGTCACTAGCTTATCTGTAGATGGTTTTGTGTTTGCATTTTGGGGTTCCTGAGTGTCAGGTTCTTACAAACGCCTGTGAAGTCAGATTCACAACTCACACAGTTTACTAATTTTTGTATACTTGTTCTATTTGTCAGTGAGAATGATATTAAAATTTGCCCAGTGGGACTGTGATTTTATCTAGATATATCATCATCATCATCATCATCATCATCATCAACAACAACACCTAACTCATTGTGGAACTGGGAATCAAACACAAGGTTTTGTGCTCGCCAGGCAAGTCCTTTACCAATGAACTACATGCCCGGTCTCTCTCCTACTCTTTCTGTTCATTTCTACTGTCATTCTAGCCAATAAAGTGTGCACGAGAAAACTTTAAGGTATAAAATGCAGAGGGAGAGACAAAACTATTTGCTAATTATTTGCTCATGATATTATTTACCTAGAAAACCCAAGGAAACTGATGTTTTTAAAGACCACTAAAAACCAAGGGGCTAAATTTACTATCAGTAATATTGAAGGGTAAAAATTTTGTATAGAGAAGTCAGTAGTTAGAAACTAAGAGTGTAATGAGGTTTCATAGCCAGGTGGTAGTATAATCCCAGAACTCAGGAGACAGAGTCAGGCAGATCTCTGTGAGTTCCAGGCCAGTCTGGTCTACATCTTGAGCTCCAGGACAGCCAGGGATACACAGAAAAGCCCTGTCCCTAAAAATGGAAAGAAAAGTTGCATTAGTAAGAACTACAACTATTAATATACAACATATATACCCTGTACCGAGTGTGCTCATCTTGGAGCTGAGGAAATGGCTTGGTTGATAAAGTGACCTGCAAGTGTGAAGGCATAAGTCTGGGTTCCCCAGCACCCATGTGAAAACAGGGCATGGCACTGTATACCTACAGTGCACTGCAGGGCTGGACAGGAGCTCAGTGGCCAACCACTCTGGCCCATCAGTGAGCTCCTGGTTCAATGAGAGATTTTCTCTCAAAAAATAAGATGGGATATGATCAAAGACACATGAAGTTGGCCTGTGGTCTGCAGGCATGTGCACACATACTTGCATGCACACACACACACACACACACACACACACACACACACACACACGAATATGTTTATCTTCCAACTTTTAAATTTAGCATAATGCCAATAAACCTTTTATTTTTCAGGCTGAAGGAATTTTGAAGTTCACACTGATTAATAAGCAAACAAGATTCTTCAAGGGTAAATCAAGGCACACCATACTGGCTCAGGAATAGTTCAGTCTGAAAATGGACAGGGAAGAGGAGAGGAAGAAAACAAAGGGAAGACAAAAAGCTTGGGAATGGTCGGTCAAATAGTAGCTGCCTCAGAAATATTCTTCTTAAACTCTAATCACATTCCATTCCTCTGGGTAATTTCCAAATGGATCAAATCTTTAATATAAAAACTAAGTCAAGGATAATACATGAAGAGACTGGAAATGTTTCATAATTTTACAGTACATGAAGTTCACAAAATAAAACTAATAACCCAACTATATATAAAAAGAAATTTTTAAAACCTCCACCTAACAAAATTAAGCCCTTGTATAATTAAAAAAAATCACACATGACAAACTAGAAACTCTAATTCATCACAGACACAGAATAACCTTATTAGTATGTAAAAAGCCCTGGAGGTGGATAAGAAAGAGACCAATAACTCACTAGAAAAACAGATAAATGTTATAAAGACAATGCAAAGAATAAATAAATTATTCTTAATACGTTTACAATGCTCTTTTACACTCATAATGTGAGGCATGCAAATTAAAACTACTCTCAGAGCCATTTTTTTCCACCATGAAATTGGCAACCACCCAAAATTTGATAGCATGTCCTGTTGCCAAGGCTGTGGGAAACAGACACTCTCATACCTTGCTGGTGGGAGTATAAATTTGCATGGCCCATATGGACGGCAATTTAGCAATAGCTACCAAAGCCGCAGATGTATGTGCTCTTGGATCCAGTAATTCCACTTTGGGGAATTCACTCTGCAGACATATTTGCATGTGGACAAAATGGTAGGTACACCATTTATTCATTGCAACGTTGCAATCAAGATGGGAAGGAGAAGCTGCTTTAATTCAGTGCAGCATTTAGTAATAGCATTGGAAAAGGAAAGCTATCTTTAAATATTTATTTTATTATTATTTATTTATTTGTGTGTGTGCATGTGTGTGTGTGTGTGTGGTGTGTGTGTGTGTGTGCGTGCATATGTGCCCAGGAATCCAGAAGAGAGCATCTGATCCCCTGCAGCTAGACTTACTTACTGCCTGATATGCATTCTGGGAACCAAACTTGTTTCCCTGCAAGGGCCTCAAATGCTCTTAACTGCAGAACCATTTCCTCATCATCAGAAGAATGTTCTTTCTATATTAATCAGGAATGCTCACCAAAATATATTAAGTGAATTAAACAAGACACGGGATGATTTATAGCTTACTAATATTTATATTACAAAGAGTGAAACCAATATATTTTGTATCTTGCTTACCTATCAGAGGACATTGCCATGAATGCCAAGAAATGGGCTTTCTCCCTCCCAGAGCATATGACAACAGGAAGCTAGAAGTCACTAGCGGAAGACCCCAGGCTGTTCACAGGGATCGCCACATACTGTGGTTCAACCCTACGCCATGTCTTAGTGTTTCTTTCTGCCCAGGATAAAATGGTGCTAGGGTACAGGTCTTAGCATTTCTCTCTTAGCAGAGGCATGCTCTGAGAAGCAGAGGGAGGTTCTGCTGTGTGAGAAACCCTACCAACCCCGAGCTGCACAGGCAAAGCCCACGACCAGCCCACACCACTGTTGATAAAGTTCTGCTGGCCTTTCCTATTCTGTCTCCCATCCTCTCTGCGCTTCACTGATGACTTGAACAACCTCACTGCTAAAGATGCCTGAAGCATTCAAGAAAAAGAGCTTAAATAAAACTTCTTCCCTCTAGGACTTCATAGCTGCTAGTTCTGCTTTCCTGTGCTAAGAATATCGGGTCCTCCCCACCCCAACATTAATCCAGTAGTCTTTATACATTTGTCTCTTCATTGAGTCAGAGATGGAGTGAGTCTGTTTCCTCACCTCCCAGGCACTTCACCCAGGGATAGGGGGTGGATATATTCTTAGCTGGAGAGCACTGTGCTCCACCTTATGTAAATCCCAGGGAGGTAGGTCTCTCTAGACTGTGACAAAGAGGAGACCAGCGTGAGAAGTCTTGGCAAGAGAGGGAGGCCCCTGAGCAGTGAGCCAATCTCTCCGTGGACCAAGCTCGCTGCCTGCAGATCTGCATAGAGCTAAGGAGAATGCCTGCCTTCACCCGGAGCGGAGGAGGCACAGGAGTGGAATTCCCTGCCAAGTTTCTTCCCTTGGAGCTCCAGAAGAGTTGGCTCACGAGCTCCATGTCTTCTTCTGGTCCTGGGGGAAGGACTGTGGTCCTGTAAAGGAGAGACAATGAGTTCTGATTATAAGGACATTCTAATACTGTAAGAATAAAGTGCAGGGTTCCTTGCTGGCTATCATGAGTAATTGATCTCAGGATATGGAAAGGCCATGGTCATGCTCAACACATCACGCCATTGGTGGGCATTTCTAGAAGTGAGAAAGCCAGTTATTTATCTTCAATGCAACCTCGGGCAATAGTGTGAAGGATGTGTCTGCATTCTGAAAAGTCCCTTCAGACTTCCCAGCAGCTACCTTCTGAATGCTTTGCCCTGGTGTCCACTGATCTTGGCCAACTCATGTCACCTCTCCAGGTCGCCACAGCCACCTTGAGTGAAAAAGTAGGCTCTGCAGTTCTGAGCTTCCGAGGAAAACATTGCTTCCCTGAGGGTGAAAGTTCTGTCTGGTCCACCCTTTCAGACTTGCTCCTTCTTTCTCTAACCAGCCCTGCCCAGCAATGAGAGGAAAGATAAGCCCCACCCACTCCCCCCCCACACACACACACACAAAGACTGCAGCAAATGTCCCACCTCTGGGCTTCATAACTGTTGATGAATTATTTATAAGGTCTTGGATGAAAACTAATTCCCCCACCCAGATGTCCACACCTGAATTCACAGAACTGTTAATATGCTACACTAATAAGAAGGATTTTAAGGCAGAATGCAGTTATCAGCGCGTTAAAATAGGAAACTTGCCCTAGCTTCCGGAATCGCGTGAGCTTTTCACTGCAGAGAGCTTTCTCTACCTAGGGGCCTGTGAGAGTGGGCAGAAGGTGAAGCCAGAGGTTGGAAGCATGAGGGAGCGTTGCTGCAGCTGGAGGGGCCACATGGAAGGCTTGAGCTGGAAGGGGAAGGCTTTAAGACCAAACCTCAAGCCCGTTGTCTGCAGCCCCCTAGGAACTGGGAATTCAAGCCCTAGAATCACAAGGAAATGAATCCAGTAAGAGCCTGGCTGCTCTGAGAAGCAAACCCACTCCAGAGCTCCCAGAAAGCAAGCACTAGGGCCTGCCCACCTCAGAGAGACTCCACCGAGGACCTAACTGTAGAGTGCCGTGCCCAGACTTCTGACTTACAGAATGGGCAGGAAATTGCTTGGAGCTGGTTTAAATCACTAGATTTGCGGCGATTAATTTGCAGGAGCAGCATGAGGAAATGGACGCACAGATGTCCCAGACAACCACATTACGCTAGCCCGGGAAGCTCATCCTTCAGAAACATCTCTAGCATCTGGCCGCAGAGCGACTGAGTCTGGCCTGGGGACAGGCACTGTTTCTGGCCGCTGGGCTCTGTTTCTCTTCTGGCAGTCAGAATATGCGACAAGCACACCAAAAGGAAGACAAAGACTGTAGGGAAACAGGAAGAAAGGAAGGAAGAATGGGCGGGCAAAGCAGGGGAGGGAAGAAGGAATGGCAAGAGTAATGCCTGGTGTTGTCGCCATGACTCCATAGGCAGCTGGCCCCGCCCCCCATGGAACCGCCCTCTTAGGATTGAAGAAATGTTAGGCTTCTGCCTGACCATATGGAAGAAGAGGGGCCAGGAATGCTCTGGGACATTTTTTAATCCGGTAATTTAAATATCTGCAGAGAACATCCTGTGAGCTGCCCCTTGGCTGTGAAAATGCTAATAAGCCAAGCTGGCTGCCAAGTGCCACTTGGGAGGCCCGGGTGGTGCAGAAGAGGACTGAGCTCCATCGCAGCTCCCATGTCCTCACAGGAGAGGAGCTCAGAGCTCCGGATTCCGCCTCTCTTCTCCTCACCTTCCCCTTGTCTCACCTATCTATCTTTCAAATTCCAGTGTACCTCCGACAACAAGCCCTCCTCTCCCCATCTCCTTTTAACCAGGTGTAGTGAGATTGCTCCATTACTTTTTATTCCTCATGAATAGGAACAAGGATGAAGGCAGAATTTAAGGCATCACCCAGAAGTCGTCTTCCTCCAGTTCTGAAATCATCTCATGTGTACAGGGAACCTCTTCGCCTCACCCTCCTACCGACCTCTAACACCTGCTAGCAAGCTCCTGTTTCCAGTCCAGGCTAAGGAGCAGAGCGCTGGGGAAGCAGAAGGTTCCAGGGTGATCACCCACCATGAGGAAACACATTTTGTGGTGGAGAGAGTCTTGAGATTCCCAAAAAGAAGCATCTGTGAGAATAACAACAACGAGTGAACTCGTTCTCCAGATGACACAAGCACCCACCAGGGATCTGCACCCCACTTTAAACTCAACACTGGAAGGCTTGGGAATGGCTACCCCTGTCTGAGCTTCAGTGGATGGCTTGTCATGGCCTTCACAGAGGAAAGAGTGATGCAGCGGGGATTTGGGAACTAAAAGAAGGTTTTTTTCCTAGCTGCCCCCCTGTCCACGTCACCCTTTGTCTAGCTTTGTGACTAGAATTGCATCAGTCTAACACACACCCCAGTGTTAGGGAAAATCTTAAGAAGAGCCTCTCCGCCTGTGCAAAATAACTCCCATTAGACCAGACTAGACCAAATCAAGAATTCCCACATTTAATGAATGCTGTGCTCTCGGGTGGCTGGGAACATGGCAGGGGAAGACAGAAAGGGAGAACACACACAAAACCTGAAATCACAAGTTCCTTTCTCCAGCACGAGCCTAAGTAACCTGTGGGAGTAGTCCTGACCTTTCTCAGAGAGGAGTCAGTGCCTGGCAGGCTGGGAGTTGCTGTCCTGCAGCCTAGGCAACTCCCAGGCCAGGGGCTGAGGTGACGCTTCCAATCAGCCTAGACTTCTTGGATATAAGGTTGTCAGAGGGCTGGGGTCTCACTTTCAATCAAACACCCACTTTACTTGTCTGAGTCTAAACTCAATCTTAGCACGAACTCTAGCAACTGGGGAATGCCATAGAAAGCCCAGCCCTGTTTAAAGGATCTGCAGTCACAGGGTCAGCTAGAGAAGGAGGAAGTCACTCACCTTCAAGGCTCCAGAACTAGGGCTAAAAGTAGAGGTTTGAGAAAGAGAAGGAATCAGGAAACTAAACCTGGGCCTGGCCAGCCATTCCCATCTGCAGGAAACATAGCCCGTAGCTTCATTGTGTTCTTCAGGATCCATGGAGGGCCATCTCTGCCCCGCAGAGATGTGGCTACCCAGTCATGCTGATCCAGGCCTCAACCTTCTGATGAGATTTTACTCCTGAGCCCGGAGGGAGGAGCCTAGGCTAACGCAGGGAAAAGCCTGTCCCTTAATGTAATCATTTTTCTATCTCCAATCCCATCTGTCGAAAATTACTATTTTGCAGAGCACAATCTGGGATGGTATTAATTTCTTTTTCTCTCTTTCTTCCAAGCCTTATTATATGTACATGTAAAAGTCTTCAAAAAGAGAATTTAGCAACTGAGTCCTCACCTCACCAAAATCAGCCGTCTACTTGAAGTGAAGATTTCGCTTCATCGTGTGTCAAGGCTCTGTAAACACTTGGCATGAGTGAATTCATCCAATCCTCACACCAGATCTCTGAAAAAGGTCGTCTTTTTTATCGTCATCTTCCACATGGGGACACAGAGGCAAGGGCCACTAACGGACTTACCCAGGGCCTTAGCGTTTATGTAACAAATCTCAATTTCAAATCCTGAGCACATAAGCATGCTTAAGCCTCAACCACTGTGCCATAATATAGTCCAGGAACTCCTTAGATTCTTCTTAGATACCTATCAAAGAGAACAACAACAGCAAAACATGCGCTTGCACGTGTGCATGCCCCTTCCCCCCACCACACATCAACTCGAAATCTGGCAATAGATGTTCATAGCAGATTACCACTACTGACAGAGACAGAAGCACCCCAAGTGTCCCCGTTGAGAAACAAACACAATCCGACATAGTCATGCCATGAGATATTGTTCAGTCACAGAAATAAATGAAGTGCTCATGTCCATGACAACGTGGATGAATCCCAGAAACAGAAAGCTAAGCTAAAGAAGCCAGTTACAAAAGATTTATACTGGAAAAGAGGTTGTATTGCACAGTTTTGTGTACACGAAGCTTCTAGATGAGGAAAATGTACAGGCAGGGTATAAATGTGTGGCTTCCTGGGGCCTGAAAAGCTTTCAGAGAATGAGAGAGGGCTGATAATGGGTACAGGGTTTCTTTGGGGGAATGGTGAAAATGTTTCAGATCCAATTGCAGGGCAATTACACCACTGTGAATATCCAAAAAAAAAAAAAAAAAAAAAAAAAAAAAAAAAAAAAAAAACACAGAATTGTATGGTTTTAAAAGGCAAGGAGGAGGAACAAAAAGGAAGAGAGAATCAAAGTGAATTGCATAGCTATGCTATGAAATAGACTTCATCATAGTCGGAACACAGGCAAAACAACAATGCCTCAGAAAAAAACAAAGCTGCAAGAAAAAAAAGAACAGTGCTAGATCAACATAGTAACTGCTAAAGGAGTTCCTGGGGAAACACTGAAATCTCTATCTATGGAATGGACATCATCAGGAAAGTGGCAATCTGGGTAATTGTAGGGCTTTTTACTTATTACCTGGGCCATTCCAAAGGATGATTTACTGCATTTTTTTATATTTACTTATTGAGAGCATGAGAGAGAGAGAGAGAAGTGGAGAAAGATGGAGGGAGGGTTTTCCCTGTCTGGGACTTTTCTATAAATAATTTTACACAACACAAGCTCTCTTTTTTTAATATGAAAGGGTGGCTCCTTTTGCTTGTCTTCCTGCTTCTGAGATTTATCCTGCTGTATTGTGGCCTCCAACACTCTTTCCTCTGTAGCTGAAGAGTTTTTCTTTGTGTGGGTGCACGTGCCACAGTGCAGGTGTGGGGGTCGGAGAGGAGCTTGCTGAAGTTTTGGTTCGCTCCTTCCTCTATGTGGGTCCCACCGATGCTCAGGTTGGGGAACTTGGTGACAAGTGTCTTTACCCACCGAGCCATCTCACCAGCCCATGGTTTCATACTTAACAATAAAACAGTGGACAAATCTGTGATGTTCACAGAAGTGGTCCTGTAGTAGCATGGAGGCCAGAGGGCAAGAAGCTGGCATGTGCCCCGGTGAGGTGGCTGTGTGTAACACAGCATCATGCTGTCGCTGGAAGGTAGTGCTCAAGTGAGGGACAATGTGTAGTGTAAAAAGTAAAATAATTACATATGCACATTCATGCACACATGCATGCACACACACGCGTGCGCTTGCATACACACACACACACACACACACACACACACGGGGTGACAGAATTTTAACTAATAAGCCAACAAAACAGGTAGATGAGAATCAAAAAAAAAAACCGCAGGAAAAAGAAGGGATCTATAAAAAAAATAACTAAAATAAGTAAGACCAGATTAGTGGTGCATTCTTATAATCCTGATAGTTAGCAGGCAGAGACAGGAGCATCCCAGGTGTAACTGGAACCCGGACTACACAGTGAGACCTTATATCAAAACTTGAGATGGGAGGAGGGGAAGCATGGTATAGGAGGTCCTTCTGCCTTTGTGTTGCTTTCATTGGTTAATAAAGAAACTGCTTTGGGCCTGGTGATAGGGCAGAACTTAGGGAGGCGGGGAGAAAGAACTGAATTCTGGGAGGAAGAATGCAGAGTCAGGGAGACACCATGGATCCTCCACCTGAGATAGATGCCGGTTACTATCTTTCATCCTAAGCCACTGCTACGTGGTGATATACAGATTGCTAGAAATGAGTTAAATCAAGATGTGAGAGTTAGCCAACAAGAGGCTAGAGATAATGGGCCAAACAATGATTTAATTAATATTGTTTCTGTGTGGTTATTTTGGGTGTAAGTTAGCCGGGCAGCCGAGACAAACAAGCAGGCCCTCACCTTACAACAGAAGCAGAGAGGAGAAAGGAGGGAGAAAAGGGGAGGAAGGGGGATAAAAGAGGGGAGAGTTGAAAGAGGAGAAGAAAATTAAGAAAATATTCGAATAAGCAAACAAAGAGCAAAGGGCAGCTTTAAATCCAATTGTATAAATAGCTCCATTAAATATAAAAAGATGTGAATAATACTAATTAGAGGCCAGGATTGGCTGGTTGGAGAAGGAAGGAAGCAGGAAGGGGACAAAAGAGAGGAAAGAAGGAAAGGCGGAGGAGAGAGGAGACACAGAAACCCACTGTAAACGTGCAAGCAAATTATCAGTAAAAAGATACCCTGAATATACGCTATGCTCAGACAGAGAGAGTGGTTTTGTTTTTAAAGAAAGGTTACCATATTTGGGGTTCACTTACGATCCAAAAAGGGAGAATCTGGAATGTTTGCTGGGAGTCCAGTGGAAACGAATGGTGATTCTCTTGAAGACCAAACACAGGCGGTGTGGCTGGGTTTTCTGAGGCTCCAGCCAACAGCCTTAGTCATCTGCAGCACACGAGAGTGCGCACAACCAGTCAGTGCCTTGTGGAGAACCCGACACTGAGTGTGGCTTAAATACACCATCCCAAAATACACCATCCCTAGCAAACAAATGGGCAGCCGCCCTCTGCGCTGCCTCGTGGGGTCATCTGGGAACAGAGAGTCCCCACTGAGAAAATGTCCCCACCAGATCGACCTATGTTGCATTTTCTTGATTGGTGGTTCATGTGGGGTGGTAACTGTGGGTGGTGCCACCTCTGGGCAACGGGTCCCAGGTGCTATATATAAGAAAGCAAACAGAGCCATCAAGAAAGAACAAGCCAGTCAGTGACATTCCTTGTGGTCTCTGCATCAACTCCTGCCTCTAGGCTTCTACCTGAGTTCCTGCCTTGAAATCCTCTGACAAAGAACTGTGATGTGAGACAAAATAAACCCTTTCCTCCCCAAGCTGATTTTGTCATGGTCTTTTGTCACAGCAACAGAAACCCTAACTAAGACAGCTACCATGCCATGCCCACAACACAGATTCGCAATGTTATTGCTTTAAGCCACTGAGCTTTGGGGTGATTCCTCCACTCCCACCCCCAATAATTTATACTGCATAGATTTATAGCACACAGCTCAAAACCGGGTAAGGAAATGAACAGTTAAATGAGGAAATGGAGGTAAATAAGGCTTAAGTAGTTGTCCCTCAGCAGTCCCCCACCAAATCTTTAATATAATTCAAATTGAAAATTCTCTGTAATGTTCTCTAATTACCCTCTTTAAATGCCAGGCTACAGGATATGGTGTGGTAAGACTGCCTGGGCTCAAATCCCAGGGGTGGCATCTTGTTCTGGGGGACAAGCAGCTTCCCGATACCAAGCAGGGGCTGCATTAAAGGATCACAAACACACGTCGTTGTCACAGCTCCTGGGACCTAGGAAATAGGTGTTACATGTAGGGTTAGCACAGTTATCATTGTACTTTAGACGCCAGCTTCAACTCCCTGGCTTTGTGACCTGTGTGTTCACTTACTCCAGTGATTCTGCCATGCATGTCTGTCACCACTCCTTGCCACCCCGTTCACACATGTAATGCCTGACACAGTTTTAACAGAGAAACTGCAGTGGAGCTAAAGACAGATGCCTTCAGCAAGACTTAGAGTGAGATCCAGAGCAGCATGTCATCCAGACAGCACGGTGCAGGAAGGAAGGCCTGTAAGCAGGCCCGTGGGTCATCCGTTCCTTCAAATGGGAGGCTTGCTGCAAATGTAGAAGGCAAGAGGTGGCATTCTAAAAACACGCATCACCAGACAAGCCTGCTGCTTCCTCCTTACCCAGGGTTACTTCCTCCTACTTCTCACTTATTACTCTAAAAGTGATTGCAGGTATGAGAAATTTTCAAAGATAAGGCGATCTGGTCTGTGATGGCACACACTGTCAATCCAGCATTGGGCAGCAGAGGCAGGTGGGTTTCTGTGAGGTTGAAATCAGCCTTCTCTATGTTGAGAGTTCCAGGCCAGCCAGGACTACAGAGCCAAAAAAATAAATAAGTAATAAATAAATAAATAAATAAAACCAAAGATGAGTATTTTATTCCTTCCAAACCTTCCTTACTCACTGATCAGCCCAGCAGAGGCAGGGTTTGTGCCTGCCAGGAAGAGAAAATGGTGGGTTTTGTGTCGTGGTGTAGTTCCATCGTTCCAGAAACCACGGAATACACAAACATTTGGATTGAGCATGGAATGAAATCTGTGTGACTTTGGTGCCTCTGCATGTGGAGCAGATGCTCTTGTATCCGCATTGCGCTACATAAAGATGAACTGCACGGCTCCTGCCAGCAGCTAAAGGTCTTAACTCTTTCTCTACTGAGAATGGAATCAAACAGCATTGTTCCGAAGCACTGTGGCAACAAAGGAGGAAATAATATTTCAGTGTCTACCTTTGAAGAGATGATTCTTCTGGTTTTTGTACAGAATCCCACATTTTATTTTGTCCTGGCTCCCACACATTATGGCCCTGAGAAATGAAGTCTATTCTGTAATGATGAAATAATTGCCATAACTGTAATTCTTAAGAAACCACACATTCAAAGAATGCATTGGGAGCTGGAAAGATGGCTCAGAGGTTAAGAGCACTGGCTGCTCTTCCAGAGGTCCTGAGTTCAATTCCCAGCACCCATATGGTGGCTCACAACCATCTGTAATGAGATCTAGCACCCTCTTCTGGCCTGCAGGTTACATGGAGTCAGAGCACTGTACACATAATAAATAAATAAGTCTTTAAAAGGAATGCTTTTAGAAATAGTTGCTCCAATTGAAATAAAAAGTCACAGACTAGAGAGCTGTGGACCCACCTAGGACCATTTGCTGTGAGAATTCCTCTAATATGGAGAGGGTTAAATAAGTGGACTGGGTGTGTACACACACCGTCAATCCCAGCACTCTGGATGCAGAGTCAGGCACGTCTCTTGTGAGTTGGAGGCCAGCCTGGCCCACATAACAAGGTCTAGGCCAGCCAGAGTTACATAATGAGACCTTTACCAAAAAGTATTTATTTAATTTAAAAAGTTTAAAGCTACGAGCATGTAACTCTAGTATCTGGATGTCATCCAGTAAGCCATGAATGATGGTACACACAAGTTAGCTCTGTGCTTTGAAGGCAGAGACAGGCAGAGCCTTGCACTTGGTGGCCAGCCAGCCCACCCCAATCAGTGAGGTTTAGGTCTTGGCAAAAGATCCCGTGTCAAAATGAAAAATATATGAAAACCACCAAGGTCTGCAACTACCAAGGAATGATATGTAAGGTTAACGGGTTGACCACACAGGTGCACATAACATGCATCCATCTGCATACACATGAACACACACGCCCCCCCCCCACACACACACACGCACACGCACACGCACACACACACACCCCATGTAGCAAATCCAGTGTTGAATGTGAAGGAGACACCCACACGACAGGGGTTCCCTCACGCACCCCAGATTCAGCACAAGCCACACCCAAACACCTGTTTTCACAGAGAGCTCCTTTACTAATCAGGAAGAAGCTGAAGCAGCCGCTGTGTGACTCAGGAAGAAATTGGCCTTGCAGGCGTAATGTTTAAGAGGGAACAAGGGGGAGTTCTGTGTTAGAAGGGGCAATGACATGGTGGCATATTTTAATCGGGCATGTTAATTAAGTGAACCAAAAGGGGCTTTTGATAGCTGGGCTTTGAGAGTTGAACTTTGGTAGCTGGACCTGGGTAGTCAACCTCAAGAGGAGGAAGTGGCCAAATAAGGGACTAGACCTTAGGGGCTAGCTTTAGGAATGTAAGCTAATGTTTTAGCAAGGGGACAGAAGGCCAGGTCTGCCAGAGCCTGGCTTGCCACGTCACATTCTAGCTGGCCAGAGTCCCTTCAGAATGCACCTGGTTTGTTCAGAAGGAATGGGCTTTCTATTGCCATTGGCACCATCTGAGTCAGACGAAGCTGATTAGCGTTTCATCTGTTGTTATAGGAAGCAAAGCCGGAAACGGTTCCAACACAGTGACTCCTTTGAGCCTTGCTTCCTTGCTCTGCGGGGGCTACTTCCTCTCTGCTGTGTACTCCCTCTCAAGACAGCTCTGTCATCTGCCTCTCTGCAGAATGCAACCCAAGCTCCTGAAATAACACATCACTTCCAGACAGTTCTTATCATACAGCACTGAAGGAAGTGTCTATAATTATGATATTACACTTCAAGATCATGACAGATTGAAATTGTCAAGCACTGTGAACCTAGACATCAAGGTGCCACAGAGAGAACAGCAACCTACAAACATGTAAGAGCTACAATTCTCTTCCCTCAAGTTAAAAAACAGAAGATACTTGGCCAAGTCAAATAAGTGTACCCAGCAATTTATCTGAGGTGTCTAGAGCCTGGGATTTTGATCAGTTCTTACAAGGCTCTGAACTCATGGGGGCAGAATTAAACAGTGTATACAAATCCCTTGATTCCTGGTTGAGAGCCCTTTGACCACACCCCAGTAAAACACTCTCTGTGAAAGGATTCCTCAAGTGACCATTTCCAAAGGAGAGTCCGGGTCACTGAAAAGAAAGTTCTGGAGTCTCCCTCTCATGAACTGAATGTGAAATGAAGCAGCTCTTTGCCTCAGAAGAAGGTCAAACTGGTACGCTAGCCACAGAATCTGAGAACTGGAGGTGGTGGCACACACCTGTAATCCCAGCACTAGGAAGTGGAGGTCAGGAGTTCAAGGTCATTATGCTGGTTTGAAAGAAAAAGGTCCCCAAAGGGAGTGGCACTATTAGGAGGTGTGGCCTTGTTGGAGTAGGTGTGGTCTTGTTGGAGGAAGTGCACCACGGTGGGGGCGGGCTTTGAGGTGTTTTTCCCAAGCTTTACTCTGTGTGACAGTCAGCTGACTTCCTGTTGCCTTCTGGTCAAGATGTAGCACTCTCAGCTCCAGCACTGTATCTGCCTGCACTGCCATGTCCCCGTTGTTAAACCTCTGAACTGTAAGCAAGTCAGCCCAATTAAATGTTTTCTTTATAAGAATTGCCGTGGTCGTGATGTCTCTTCACAGCCATAAAAACCAAACTAAGACAACCATCCTTGGCTACATAGCAAGTTCTAGACTCTGTCTAAACAAATAAACCAACCAACCAACCAACAAGCAAATAAATAAATGGATGAATGAATGTTGGCGAGAAATGGCTCAACAGTTAAGCAGGCCAGGTACTCCTCCAGAGGACCCAGATTCAATTCTTAACACCAACACACCCACACATCAGGTCACAAACATCTGCAATTCCAATTCTAGGGGATCCCATGCGCTCTTCTGACCTCTGTAGGCACCAGGCACACATGTGGCACCCAGACACACACACACAGGCCAAACGCCCATACCCATAACAATAGAAACAAATAAATCACCACTTTGGGTCTCTGTTCATGCTTTGATCTCTCAGCACACCTCCCAGCTATCTTTCCCACAGCATGGCATCTCAGTTGCTCTCAGAGCACCTGTGACTGCCC